CTCATTTTAAGAAGTTTAGACATCGGTCAAAGCATTGCTTTGTTCGATCAGATCTTATTGAAATCTGACCCTCATATTAAAATATTATAAAAAATTTTTTTTTCTGTCATAAATCTCAAGCTACAATTTATTAATCGCAACTTTATGAAATGGTACTAAATAGTAAAGCTATTATTGATTGTTTCTTCAGTATTGATATTAATATTTTATTAAATGAGGAAAATTAACTTAAAAATATTGCTTCATATAATATGTCATCTTTTATTTACATAGAATAGCTTCTTATTGCTCTATTATTAAATGTTCTAATAATTGCTCAGAAATGTCACTTACTGATTTACAAAAGGTACAACTTTAAGAAAATGAAGAAGATAAGAATCTACTGTAATACTCATATTGAAATAAAATCAACTGTCAGCACAATCAAAAACTATAAAAATGAGAATAAACTCTTGAGAATTATTAATTCTCAGCTTTAATATTTGTTAGTTTATTTAAAGCTATTGCTAGAAATTCTTTCATTTGAGCAATAATTAAAAATTACTTTTTCATTTACTCTTTAAACAAATAAATAGAAAACCTTAGTTCAGTTATCTAAAATTATGTAAAGTTCAAGTATTTACAATTAGAGATGAAGAAATCTCTTTACCATAAGTATTTCTTTAGTAAGTTGGAAATCAAATAAAAGTCTATATCAAGGGTAACAGGAATTGAAATACTAATCTATTACTAATTTGTGATTACGATCAAATTATTAAACATTTGATAAAGCAAAGGTTTATTATTAAAAAGATTATTTTCTTTGAAAACTAAATGTTATTAAACAAAAAATTCCAAAATCGAATAGATAAAGGGTCTGAGATTCAAAAATCTGTTATTTTCTGACTAATTTTTATTAATTTAATTAGAGTCTTTATCGATAATGATAATTAATAAGTATTTTTTGCAATCAATTACAAGGATCAATAGAAAAGAAATTGCTTTAATAGTTAGACTTAAATCTAATTATTTTAGTCTAAAATATGAGAATAGTGCTTATCAAAGAGCCAAGTTCACTAGTTAATTTTGTTTCATTAATATTCTTACAAAACAGAAAAATAGGTTTAAATAATATATATTAACACATGAAAACTTAATTGAACATATGTTTATTCATAAAGAAAAATTATAATGAAAGTATTGAGGAAATCAAAATTTTTAGGTTTAAAGGTCACTGTAAACAACATTTGAAAATAATTAAATGCAAATGGCTTGTTTGTAATGAATGCAATTGAAATTCCTATATCGTGAGTTGATTTTATAAACTATTCTTTGTTCCTCTATTAATTTTCATTGGGGTGATTTTAATTTACATTTATTATTTATTGGGAATTTTTATTTCAAAAAAAAATATTTTAAATAAATTTTAATATTTATTATAATAGAATTAGAAAATGTAGATAAAATGTACTTAAGTAGATTATCAAAATCAATAAATAATAGGGTTTTGTATAGATAGTAAATGCCCAAATTATGAGCTTATTGTCATTTTTGCTTGCAGCTCCACTCTTAATATCTTAATAATGTAACAAATTTTGAATTTCTATCTGAATGGATTAAGCAAATAATCCTTAATATTCAGAATGTTTAAAAAAATTTTAAGACTCTAAAATTAAGTTTGATTGTCTTATAAATTTGTTCCTTCCTGAAAATAACTTAAATAATGAATACTTACAAGAATTAGGAATATCACAGATTGACTAATTAATAAAAGGTCTATGCCAAATGGAAGAATGCGAAGAGAGGTTATTTAAACAACTTAAAGCATCAATCGAATAAACAAAATCAATTGTAGATGAAATACTAAAAAAAATTAAGACTCAAACTAATATCAAGTAAACCGATAATTAAGAAATTCTACACTCCAAAAAAAATGAATAGATTTAACAAATACCAAAAAAAATCAATCGCAAAACCTAATCTAAATTCATTCACCTTTGACCTCATGAAATAAAATTTAAATTAAGTAAGATGAATAGTGTCATGCTATTGCTATAATCAAGATAACTCAGTCGTAGTTGCTGGATGTAATAAGGAAATTACAGTATTTCAACTTAAATAAGAGAAGCCGAATTAAATATAATTCTTAAGTGAACATACAAGAGAAGTAAAAACTGTAAATTTTATGAAAAATACAAATAAATTTGTATCTGGAAGTTAAGATAGTTTAATTATAATATGGTAGTTGATTGGAAATAATTAAAGGTAATGCTAATAATAAAAAATTGATTGGACCTGAATAAAGTATACTGTGGTTATTGTTGAACAACACAGACGATCTAATTATCTCTGGGAGTTAAGATAAAACAATAAAATTTTGGATGAAATAGGATGAATGGTTGTGATAATAAACTATAAATAATCAGACTCATTAAGTATATTCATTAAGCATATATGAACAATAAAATCAATTGATATCTTGTTCATTTGATTAAACAATATTAGTTATAAACAATAGATTCATTTGGACTCAGATTATTTTTTATTAACGATAATTAACTTACCTTTTAATCAATATATAAAGATTTTATGCATTTATATGAGATGAATAGTTTTGCTAAACAGTATCTTAAGCATGAGGAAATTCCTGTAAAATGCAGCTCAAAGGATGATTGTTGTTTATTTCCATAATAATACTTAAAGTCAAAATGCCTACTTGATATTTTTAATAAACGCAATTTATAAATAGCACCTTATTTATAATGCTTAAGCTTTTAGAAAAATCATATTTTCTAAATGCTTAATTAAGTACAATTCTTCTTTCATACAAGAATCACAAAATAATGTTCTTAACTTTTTTAAAAAACCTTTTATTAACTCAGTTGAAATCCTATCCTTATTCCATTTAAAATTAAATTGTTTTCAGATTAAATATTGAAGATTATCTTAATTATAAAATAAAAATCATTTTTTAAAGTTTCCCTAATTTAATGATAAAATTTTCCATTAAAATATGTTTGATTATATAATTTTATGAAGAAGATAATACATATTTTTGTATTCAATTTTTTGCATTCAAAAATAATTGGCTTATATGCTACATAAAACATCATTCGTGATTTCTACTATTAAATCAAAGCAAAATATATTTTATATTTTTTGAACCTCCAGTATATTAAATAAATTTAATAAATTGTTACACTAGAATAATGAGATTCGACTGATGTAAATATTTTTGGAAAATTAGAGCTTCTTTTTGCCATTATTCAACTAAGACTTTTTTAAGTTTTGAATCATATCGAATTTTTAAGGGTAGTATTTTTTCAAAAATACTGATGGAGATGTTTAGTTTTAATAATAGGCATATAATTAATTCATCATTATTGATTTGCATAAATTAAAATAAATGTGAGAATTTTAATTATAAAGGTAATGATATTGGATAGATAAGTTTTGTAAAAATAATCTCAATCTGAAGAAAATGCTCTTAAATATTTCCTCCTTTAGTAATGCTCAAATATTTATTCCAATTTTTGAAGATTCAATCTAGTAGCTTATAATTATATAAGGAAGGATTTATAATATCTCAAGAGAATAATTAAAATAATAATCATAAATTTAGAGTTTTAAGTTTTTTTAATTAATTTCCGCAACAATACCAAAACTTAATCAAAATTTTCTGAATACGAGAGGAATAAAATGAATCTCTGGAAGTCGTATTGATAAAATTTAGTTGTTTGATATTTCTAATATAATTCTATTAATTAGTTGTGTGGATTTATCAAAAAAAAAATAAAATGAATTATTATCCTTGTGAGAAATGAAAAAAAGAGCAATTATTAAGATAAGAGAAGTAATTATCATTTAAATCTAAGATCAATCTTTGATTTGATACTTCCATCTAGTATGAATTATCAGTAATCCATAATTAGTTAAATTATTTTTTATTATTAAGATGATAATTAATTGTACTTAAAACATTTCCCTCCTGTTAAAACATAAAATAATCAGGGAGAATTTTATAAAAAATAATTAATTAAAATAAATATATGAATTAAAACTTATAGGAAATTGACAAAATTTATCAACAATTGATAGAACATATTCATTTCATAAAGAATATTGTAAATTGGGAGATATCGAATGATAATCATTATTTAGCAATTAAGATGATGAATTAAATTATACTACTAAATTGCATTAATATGTTGTCTTAATAAATACTTAAGGTTTTGATGGAAATAAAATATTTTTAACTCTTTACTTAAGCTCTAGTGACATTGATTTATTGGTCTACGATATAAAAACAAAAAATCCTTTATATAGAGCTAGATTAGATATTGATCATTTTCGTGTTTAAGAAATAAGAAATTATAATGGAATGATATTTCATCAATGGATGTATCAGAAACATAAAAACCTAAGGATTAGATTTGATGGCTACTTAAAATATGAAAATTAATCAATCTTAATAACTGAAAGGGGTTTCATAAAACTAAGTTTTTGGAATTCTTAAACAAGAAAATTATTGAGAAACTTAAAAATTTCTAATTACGTTTAAAGAATTTATACGGAGTCAAATGATTTAATTGTTTTAATGAAAAGATATAGTGAAGATTCAAATTTAAAGTTTTATTCATTTACTATAGGTAAATATTTCGAGCTTTCCCAAAAAGAGTAAAGACTTGTAGCTTTTAAGGATTGTATGTCAAGTTTTAGAGAATTATTGAAAATATAATGATATCAAATCAATTTACACAATTATTTAATAAATTTGTATTTAAAATAATCTTGATTCTTTAAAATAGTTAGAAATAAAACTGGAAACTGATTATTGTAATTTCAATTTCAGCTATTAAATCAATAAATACATCTATAAAAATTACTCTTTTATTCTCAGTAGAATTTTTTCTTTTCAAAAACAAATATACAAAAGATTTTCAAACATCTTTATGAAGCTTGAACCTTTAATCAGTCATCAATATATTTTTACTTGGCTTTGAGGGACAGACCAAAATCTAATTTTTTCAATGATTTTGATAAAATAATTTATGTTATTCTTCCCTATGTTATTCATCTAGTATAAATAATATTCTTATTTTTAGGGTAAATATTAAAATTACAAGTTAAGTTGTTGATTCATTTCAACATGTATTTTTTTTGGTATTAATTTTAATAATTATCGAATAGGTTTCCTCTCAATTAAAGTTTATAAATTAGTAATTATTCAGGGTTCTCAACTCAAAATACTATTAATTTTGTAATAAAATATTTTTATAAACTACAAATAATATCAATTATAAGCACTCTATTTATCTAATTTAGCTTTTAGAAGATGTTTCTATTTTATAGATTAAATGTCTTTTAGTTCTTAAAAATTTAGTATGAGTAACAGATATATTACATCTAATTTTTAGAGGAGAAATATTAAAATTAGCTTAGAATCTTTAATGTGATATTATTTCTTAAGAATTACTTTGACTATTTTTGGAAATAGAAACTCTGATAGATAAATAGATTTTAAACAAATAAGTATTCATAAAAATTAATTATTAATAACAAATAATTATTATGTAGATCCTATATAAACTTACTGCCTAAAGTAGTTATTAATATCTAGTTGTTTAAAAATCTACATACATAATCTAATTATATTTTCAAATAAATAACTTAATTTTATGGGCCTAGACTATTATAATATCTTATATAGAATTACACTCCAATAATAATTGAAAAGATTAAACTCTTTCATTAAAAATCTTATTTAGCTACCCATCTTTTATGTTTTTAATAAGCAATCCTATATAGCTTTGGATTTAGGTATTAATCAAATAAATGAGCTTATCTAAATGATGGTATAATCTAGTATTTTTTCAAGCAAAGAGGATTATAATTTGCTTATAAATTTTTTAGAAATCATCACAGAATATTGAATGGATTTTATAAGAATTAATCATGGCCTATATCAAATACAATATTTTTGATATCAACTTGCTGTCATCAATTTTAATTTAATAACTCTTTATTAAAGAATATTAACATTCTTTCAAACATTTCCACTTCAAATTATATTGTCACTACTATTAGTTTATTTTAATGTAATTGAATAATATTCTCAAAAATAATGCAACATAATATTTATCAAAACTTAACCAAATTATCTTTATTTAATTAGAGCATATACAGGCACATATTAACTTAAATTTATTTGAGATCTCATTTATGTAAATAATTTTGTTTCCAATTTAATTCTTTAATAGGTATTATGAGTTATTTGTTAACTTTAGAGTTGCGTCATTTTTAGTAATTAATATCCTTCATAAATGATAATTTAAATTTTATTATATAGTAATAATCATCCATTTGTTCTAAAACAAAGTATATTGTCTTCCTACCCACTACTCAGATGTCTAGAAGGAGCTGTAGGCTAGTACATGTTCCTGTTAATGAACTATCGCTTTCGACTATCTAAAAAGAGATGTCTAGAAGTTAAGACACTGGGATACCAATAGAAAATCTAACTTCAAATTTTAATCAAGAGGGAGAAGCAATTCATATCATTTCCCCGCAATTTTTTTAATGTTTTTAGGATTCTTAGAATGGCAATAGGAGGGTTTTCCCTCCAATTCCAAACAAATCGTCAACCAGTCAATCAACTTAAAGGTAAGAAATACTGACTAGATTATTTTGTTAAAAAAGATAATTACTAACTCAATATAAAATTTATCTCTCTATAGTATATATCAATATAAGATGATTTTTAATAAATTATTTCCATTTCCATCAGCATATTTTTAGATATTAAATAACAAAATATCAATATTTTAGTTTACAATTTTCTAGATAAACTATAGGTATTATTAATATTTACTAAGATGATTCTAAAATTTCCTTAAATATGCTTATCCAATTCTACTTACAAAAAATTAAAAAATTAAATAGTTGGTTCCCAATGTTCATATCATTAATTTTAACTAAAATTTGTTTATCTCATACAAAAACGAAATGGCTCTTTATTTTATATATAAAGAATTAAACTTTGTATTAGATGCATAAATAAATTCGAGCCAAAAGAAGAGAAACTGCATTCAAAATAAAATTTAAGGATAATTCATTAGCTTAACTAATTTATAAAAAATTTGCTCCTTTTTATTGTTTTAATAAATAATATTATATTGATTATCATAAAAAACTTAAATTAATTTTTACATATTTTTCTTCTTTTTTGAAAATTCCAAAATTATTTTTCGTATCTTTATGGTTTTATTTTTGAAGTTTTATCAATCAAACCTTAGTTTATTATTATATTAATAATAGAAATATATTATTAATACGACGTAAAAAAGAGTGATTAAATTATTTTTAATAAGAATAATTAATCTAATTAAAAAATGAATATCTTAAATCAAAAATAATCACAGGAAAAGAAAGAAAAAATATGAAAAATTTATAATTTAGAATTGATTGCTATAGATTTAGACTTATCAGGTAAATCTCAGATGTAATTCTGTTGTGGAAAATGTTTATTATAAAAATTACATAACAATAAAGTGACCTCAATTGAATAATCAAAAAAAAAGAATTTTATAAATTCAGTTTTAATATACTCATATATAAAGGAATTATGATAATCTTAATAACAATAAATAACATTTATTTCGTTTATTCCCTATGAAATCCAAGATTACTTAATTATTCCATAATTATAGATTAAAACAAAAGAGAATCAAGCAAGATTGACCTATTATAAAAATATATTAGATCAAATTCTGGAATTCAAAATATGTTTAGATGATTCTTTGGAAAAGATGTATAAATAAATATAATAATACATATTTCCAATTTAGAACAAAAATAAGAATTATTAGATTAGAAATTAGTTTTTAGAAAAATTTTATTTTGAAAATTAAGAATTATTAGTGTTTTATTCAGCAAAGAATACTCATTCGCTCCTTCTAATCAATTTCTTTGTGTTCTTCTTGGAGCCCTTATATTACCATGCATTTCTATCCAAATCTAAATTTTCTTACTATTTTCATACTCTACATATTTAAAATTATCCTTTATCTCAATCCATATCCCAACACTAACTTAATCATATGAACCATCGCCACTAAAACGATTATATAATTAATAATTATTTTACATCTTTTTATTTACTCCATAATTGAAATAAATATCCCATTTGCCAACTTTTTACCCATTTTTATATTCACCATTAAGAGTTACTTAGGATGAATCAAAAAACTCGTCATTCACTTCAATCCATCTTCCAATCCAATCTTAATTCCTTCACCTTCTTCATCATACAATCCTCCACCACTACCTAGTTCACATAATTTATATTTACATCTACTTATTTCCGAAATAATTGAAATCAGTATCCCATTTACCAACTTTTTACCCTTTTTTATATTCACCAATGTAAGTTAGTTATGTATTAATATCACTCAACTTAATCCATTTACCATTCTTCTAACCTTATTCATTATATTATTCCCCTCCACTTATTATATTTTTAATAATACATTTTATTGTTATCATAGATATATACCCATATTCCACTTCTTTTATCATTCTAGTATTCTCCACTTTCAAGAACTTTGGCCCTAACCATTTAAGTCGTTTTATTTATTAATATTTGTCAAAATATCTAGATTCTAGGGGTCATCTTATATTAATTGTCTAATTAAACTTATCAATTATAATTAACTTTCTTAATATTACTCCATCGAAAGAGTACACCAGTTAATTATCCTGGATAATTGTAATCAAAATTTTAGTATTCTCAAATTATTTTTTGTGATAATTCCATTTTATTATTTGATATTCCTTGGTATTCTTTAATGTCATTGGCTCTGCAAAATTTAATTTATTTTAGGTTTATCTCATTTTAAATAAAATATTAATTATTATTATGCTTATCAGCGAATTACAATAGAAAGAATTTTTAAATATCTGAAGATTTAAAGGATTATACAAAATTAATGTTATTATTAGGGTTTTATATGCTACTTAGAATCCTTAGATTCGAATAAGTGATATAAAAAGTCTCAAGTCAACCTTTCATTTCTTTGGATAATTTAGCATTAATTGGAAGACATTATTATAAAAATTATAATTCACTTAATTTTTCATAAAGCTGATAATTTACAGCAATATTTTTTGTATTCACTTAAATCTTTTTCATTTAGTTGAAAGTAAGAGAACAATAATTAAAAGATATACCCTACAAATTTCATCAAAAAATTTACTTTTGATCATTTCTTTTAAAATAACATTAAATATAGTTTGATAATCAGAAAAACGAATGAATTTAAATCTAACTTACTTATAATATGCTATAAATTGAATTTCTTATAACAATATATATGTATTAATCTCTATTTTCCCCATAAGAATAAAGAAAATGAACTCTTTCTTATCAATATAATTATTATTTTTGAATGAAACTTCACATTATTAATATAATATTTCAAAATTATTTATTTGTCTTAGGGGATAGTCAAGAATTAGCAAGGATATTTGAATTTCTTTTTTAATTGGAATATCTTAAGTTATATGGGGCACTAGGATCAATTAGGACTTTATTAGAATTAATTTAATCCATAAAAAATGATTAGATAATGCATCTTTGAAAAATCCTAAAACAAATTAAAGAAATTATTTTAATCAACAAAAATCCTATACCACTATCTATTTTGAATTTTTTTTTTTAAGCTAAGAGTATATTTACTTATATTCATATATGTTTGAGTTTCTCTTAAAATTTTTTTTCTAATTCTCTGGATTTATTGTTCCTTGTTTCAATAAATTATTTAGCTGATATCTATATATTTAATTCATCAAATATTATTAAGGATTTATATAAAATGATAATTAAATTAAAATAATAAAATGCGCTGAAAATATATATTATTCTTTATAAAGTAGATATATATATATATGCTCTATTTTGAGAGGAGTTTATATAGATATTATTGATTGATTAATAATATCAGCTTAGATTGGAAAATATTTTTTTGATTATATGTAACCATAATCATTCTTACTTTCTAATAATTAAACATATTTGAAGAATGAAACCAAAGGAAAACATGGTCATCCAAAATAACTTCTAAAGATTAATCATAGGGAAGGCTCCAGTTTTCTAGATGGAAGATATATATTAAAATAGAAAAGTAGCTTTACTTAAGGTACTTGCCTACCTACCTTAGTCTTAACTTACATGATAGCTTACTCAAAAAAACTCAACCAAAGGGATCTCAGACAATGAAATCCCATTATTCTTGTAAAAACTAATTAATTAAGATAGTTTTATAATCATATTTGTCTATGTTAATTTGATGGTTTTCCAGAAAAACAATATTCTTGATTTGATATCATTTTAATTAAACGTCTCTTCATGAATTACGAAGTTGCCAAATATATTTCAAT